TAAAGATTGGCAAGCTTCTGCTGGATTTGAACTTTATAGTATTTTTATTAGTAATTTGGTATTTGTATCTGGCCTTTAACAAGTCAGTTCATATGTGACATTGATTTGCTGTCATCTTTATTATTATTCAGAAAGCAAGCTAGATAATATGATGCTTCTACTTCATTGACAGAATGTCAAAGAATGAGTGCTTTCCCCAGAAAGGTTGGCCAAAACAACTTTGATTTGCCATTAGAAGCACTTTTTTTAATGTTTTTTTTTAAAGTTACTCTAAGAAAAAGTTGAAATTCTGCTTCCCAAATAAGATGTATATATCTGGTCAAATGTGAAGGAAGCCATAAAAACATAGCTAAATTTTTCATAATCTATAAAACCTCACTAACTGAATGAAATCTAAACATTTGTTCCTCTGGAATGAATTAGGAAATGAGTACAGAGATGAGGAAAAATTCTTCCCCATCTTCTAAGGTACTCCATGTCCCAGGCTCACTTCATGTATTCTTTATATTCTTCTCTTGGTCTTTTGGTTTATTTTTTCTCTCTTCTCATTGTTTTTCTTCTGGTTTAAACCATTTTGAGTTCAACTTCTTTTGGCTTTGTCCTGATGAACTGTATAGTTTTGCTCAGCATGTTTTTGGATTATCTCTGGAGAAAAAAGGAGACAATTGGTGATAATATTTATTGTATTTTAATAAAATTGTATTTCCTTATTTAATACATGAGACAAATTATTTACAAAATATTCAAACAGTATTTAAATAGATTATACATAATCTTATAGTAAAGAGTAGATACATACAACAAAATTTTATTCTACATTAACAAATGTTGCATATACATATCCTTCTCCTTCTTGTTATTTGTTTTTATTTATGTATATCTTCGTTAGATTTTTTTGGAAATAAGAGGGGTTTAATATTTATGGAATAGGTTAATTTTAGAGGATAACAATTACTTCATTTGAAAGTCTGAATGTATTTAAATATATAAGATCTTTGGCTATAAACCAAGTTAAATAGAGAAATTATAGCCAATTGCTTTCTGGCACCAAATGTGTACTGTTTTTCTGAACAAGTTTCACAGAATAAATCTAATTGTAACTGTGGATGAAGTATATTGGCAAACATATTTCATACTGAAAAGGTTTTTTGTGATTCGTTTTTAAATGCATATTTTTGTTTCACTTAATATAGCCTTTAAAGTCAAATAAATAATTTAAGTAATATAAGCCTTCTTACTAATGAAACAAATTGTGTGTTTTTATTTCAAACCAATGACTATGCTTATGACCTTCTATTTTATAGTATTAGATTATGTTATTAGCACAACTAAAAGTCAACAGTTCAAGGTCATAAAATATCTTAAATTCCCTTGAGGAAAAGAAACCATAAACATGTGACAGGCTCTATTCTAAAAATAGTTGAAGGACCAAGGTTGGAAATGTACAATACATTTTAAAATGAATATGAAATATACTATGAGTACAGAACTGTTCAGAAGAGAAAGGGTATTGCTTGTCTTCACCAAGGAAATCTTTATGAATGATAAAGAATTCGGCCTGTAGTTTGAAGGATTTGTAAGATTATGAAAGGAAATTTGAAGCAGTAAAGTTGATTTGAAAGAAATTGAATCTGCAAACAAATATAATGAGCTAGAAAAGGTGAAAAGTACAAAGAGATGGAAACAAAGACGGCTTAGTTCAAATGTGAGATTCCTGTTAATGAACTACAAAGACTAAGGCAGGGTGAAGCTTAAGCATATTTAATGGTATAAGAGAGTTAAGAGGAATAAATGTGCTTTTAGACGATCCTAATATTTCAACACACAATTTTAAGTGGTGGTAAAAGAGATTAGAAAAATTTACAGTAGCAAATTCAGCCAGTACAGTAGATTGTGGATATTTTATGTAATAGTCTTTTCAACAAATAACATCTGTGATATCTATTTATAAAACACATGAAAACGACAATATTTACAGTAATAGATTTTTATCAGTACAGACTGGTATTCACTAGCTAATTACTGAATGGAAATCTAAGTTTTACCAATAGTGTTTTTTAGCAGAGGAAATTGTTACATTGTTACACTGAACTACTCTTCCAGTTTAGTGTTAAGAAAGACATTAGTTCTATAGTAATGAATTACTCCTATTAAATGTACAGAATTTCGGAAACAGGACTTTCGATTGCAATTGTCCATCAGCCTCATTAAGGGAGAAAATAAATGGCCATATTAATGAAAATAAGATTCCCAAAATAAAAATAACTTTGAAAGAGAATTTGAGGGACTAGGGAAAAATGAATTTAGAAGTCCATATCTTTGAACATCTAAAGATGGTATTATTTGCGTAAAATTCCCAGTAGCTATCAATCACCTATGAACAAATTCCAAGTTCCTTAGGGCCTGCAAGGGTCAATATGATGAATGCATCCATCCACCTCTCTCTCCTTTCTCACCTAAAACCATTTGTTTCTTTCTTAATCAGTTTTGCCATGTAGGGAACTATTAAAGTTGTTAAAAATGTTTTCCTTTTCCTCAGAGTTGTTATGTATGTTACTTAAAATACTACCTTTTCTAGTGCTTGATAGTAGCTGTCCAGTTCTAAAATCTGTTGAGATCTTCTGCTCCGTATTGTTGCTTATTTATAATCTACCTACCCACCTATATTGTACTTTCTCTGAAGTAGATTTATAGTAGATTGATAACGTAAAATTATAAAGTTAAAAAGACTTATGCAAGGCATAAATATATACCATCACCATCAACATCTCCTTCCAAGGTGATACTTATTTTACTTGATGAATATATATTGACATGTAAGTATCAGCCAGGGTCCACAGTTTACCATGTGTTTCATTTTTCATTTACATTCTATGAATTGCACAAGTTTTATTTTATCATTAGTAAGTTGTAACCAAAGAGTTACCTTTTCACTACGCATTTTGTTAATCCAGTGCATCTTAATCAATGTCATTCCTTTCAACATTCTCACCCATCCCTCTCCTACTCACACTTTCCCTGTTCTTAATTTTGTACGATGTACATTGAATTCTTTAACTGCATTCTCTTCTTCTTCTCCTCTTTGTCTACCCCTTAACCTATTGACCCCAAGACACACATTTTAGGAACTCACATCCTGGTGTTTCTTTTGTTGAATTTGGGATTGCACAAGTTTTTATGACATAGTTATTTATCCTCTGTTAGCATATTTTACAGAATGATTTCCCTACTCCAAAATTCATCTGCGCCTTGTCTTTTCTTCTTTTCCCAACCTCTGGCTGATTTTGCATCTTTCAGTTGCAGTTATCACAGTGGAAATTATATTGTATGTCACCTTCTCCAGTTGTCTTTTTTACTTAGTAAAGTATATTTATGTTCCCTCCTTGTTGTTTTATGTCTGGACAATATTTCTTTTAAACAATGAACAGTAGTCCATTGTCTGTCTGTGCTACATTCTATCTATCTGTACTTTATTGGGGATATCTTACTTCAAAACTTTGGCAATTAAGAACAAAGCTGCTATAAACATCTGTATGAACATTTTGGGGATAAATTCAGTTTTACAAAGGAAAAGCAAAACATACTCAAGCAAAAATGTTAGCATCACACAAACATTTATAAGTTATAGTTTGTAGCAGAATCCAAGACTAGATGTATTCATTTGTGGTGTTCATTCTATTTTTAGTTTACTTAATGAATATTGCTCATGTGCTAGAGGCACTCTAACTAGGTGGTAGAAATACTATGCTAGAAATGAAAAACTTTAGGTTTATAGATATGTCTGAATAGGGAGAAAAGAGACACCAAAACAAAAAAAATCCCAAAGGTAATATGAGAAGTTCCTTTAAATATTATGGAATTGAAATAAATTTCAGATGAAGAAGATAGAAAAGAGCTTCACAAAATGATGACCCAAGAAGTGTGCCTTCAAGAAAAAGTAGGAGTTTACAGACAAAGTGTAAGTGAAGTCAGATACAGACTCAGAAGTTAGAAAGAAATGCAAGAGCAGGCTGGTGTGGGCGGCATAGTGGGCAGCTGATTTAGAAAAACATGTTGATCAGTGGTGGAAATTTTTTCTAAGCTCAGCTTATAAGTTTAGATGCTTCTTTAATTAGTTAATATTCCTGAATCTTTTTAAGCCTGTGTGGTATGAATGATGATTTCAGAAATATAATTCTATTCCCTGTCTTAAAAATAGAGTGGGTAAGAAAGTAATGAGATTCCGCTAATATGGCTAACAGAAAGCTAATAGATACAATGAAGACAACTGATCTATTTGGCAAATAGGGATGATGTTAGGAGAAATATTTAAGATGTGTTCAAGAGACTGAATTTATAATTATATCCAATAGTAGTATTACTTTATTTTTTGTCTCTTTTTAAAAGTTTGAATGATTTATTAGTTTTCTAAAAACACTAGGACTACAGATTAGGTGTAAATAGAGATGCTACAATTTAGATATCATTATAAGTAAAACAAGGTTTCTACAAAAACTTAGCAGAATAAAGGGATATTAAATTACCTTTTTATTGTATCATCTTTATGACTAGTATGTCACATGGAAGGAGAGATTGATATAGATCAAGAAGAGCTAATAATCTTCCCCAACACTTCTTAAATAATCAATCAGTTCTATTGACATAAAATTTTTATTTTGCTGCATAAGGGTGAATAAAAGAAGGAAGTAGTTAAATCTACATGCAGAAATTCATTAATTGTCTTTAATTAGCAATTTGGTTTTTCCACATGAACAACTTTGCTGGGAAGTTAATGCTCTTTGTAACTGTGGGGGTAACAATTAGCTAATAAGGTCTTTAAGAATTAATTGAGATATTGAGATAACAGATGTAATTTACAAATGGAAATTAAGATAAAAGCCAGGTGATTTACTATGGTAGCTTCACCAACATGATCAGGAGAACATATTAGACACCATGTGGTTGCTCTTTATTGCCAGTATAATTATGTACTAACATGTGTGTTCTTCAATTACTTTCAGCTATGACAGCGACAGCTGGTGCCCACCATTACCAGTGCAAACTTACTTACACCAGGGTATGGAAGATGAACTGGAAGAAGATGATGACCGAGTCCCAACACCTCCCGTGCGAGGCGTGGCTTCCTCTCCTGCTATCTCCTTTGGGCAGCAGTCTACAGCTACTCTTACGCCATCACCACGGGAGGAGATGCAACCCATTTTGCAGGCACACCTGGATGAGCTGACAAGAGCTTATCAGTTTGATATAGCAAAACAAACATGGTAAATACCCTCACTAAGTCAAGGGACCCATGCTTCCAATACATGCAAACGTTCCTTTACATGAGTTCACAAGGACTCATCGTCAAAAATACTCAAGGATTAAAAATGTCTTTGTATATATCATAATCTTTAATATAAAAGAATAGACTGTAGAATTGATTTTTTAAAAGTCTAATCAAATTCACATATGTAATTATAGAATGACTGGGAGCAAAATTTAGATAGGCTGATTTTAGTCTAAAGTTCTTTTGGCTATACCTGAGTTGTTCCTAATTTATGATTTACCTTCAACCAGCTTACCCTTGAACTCACTTTTTTTTTCTTTTTTGTCAGTCATAGGCTTGAACTCTGGGTCTGGGCACTGTCCCTGCGTTCTTCAGCTTAAGGCTAGCGCTCTACCACTTGGGCCACAGCACAACTTGCAGTTTTCTTAGTGGTATATTGGAGATAAGAGTCTCATGGATTTTTGTGCCCAGGCTGGCTTTGAACCAGGATCCTCAGATTATAGTTTCCTGAGTAGCTAGGATTACAGGTGTGAACCACTGGCCCCTGGCCTTGAACTCACTTTTAATGCCATAATAAAGGACTCCTTTTAGATTCTTCAAAGTGCTGTGATTAATTCTGTATATCATTATGAATATGTAAATCTGTTTCTACAGATCGCTTACACACAATGTCAGTTAATAAAAGAAATAAAGGACCTTCTTTGGGTTGAATTAAATGAATCAATATAAACAACAGTAAATGCATCCCAAAGAAGCTCAGGAATAAATTAACAATCCAAGATTCCTTTAATTAATCAATGCACATACTTTCAGAAACTGTAGATAGAAATGTACTAAGATGTGAAAGTATGGTAGAAATTAAATGAGATCAATTCTCACAGCTTTATAGTTTTCTTCTTGTTTTTCCCTGATGTAGCAATATATAAGCTTGGACTTTGGTAAATGAAACACTTTTGATCTCTCACTAATTATATTCTGTTGATTTACATTCTGGGCTTGAAGTCATTAAATAAATATTTGCTTGTTTTGATAGTTGTAACTATGGAAATGATCTGATAATGAGATAACTAGAATTCACAGTGTTAATCATTATCTCTATTATTTTTTTGGTTCTACTAGAGTTTGAATTAATGGTATCATGCTTGCTGTGCTAGTATTCTACCATTTGAACCCTACTTCCAGCCTTGGTTTTTGCTCATTATTTTGGACATAGAATCTAATGAATCTTTTTTGCCCAGGCTGCCCTTGAACTATGATCCTCCAGATTTCAGCTTGCCAACTAGCTAGGATTATTGGCATGAGCCATCTGTAACAAGCTATTTGTTTTGAAAATGCAGCTACTCTTACATAGAAAAAGATAGATTTCCTATCTTAAAATATGCTTTTTTATTAATATCAAAATCAAATCCTGAAATTTTTCATAATAATCAGATACTTTTTCAATAGACAGCCTACTTTTAAACAGTATTATTTTACATTAAGCCACTTCTCATAGAATATTGAAACTGCTTGATAAATGATAGGATTTCCTTCATTAGTTATGACACCAAGCAGTTAAGTAATTTAAACAGACTGGCTCAGAATTTCTCAAATTTTTCTGCATTTAAGAATATAGGCTGGGAATGTGGCTTAGTGGTAGAGTGCTTTCTTCGCATGCATGTAGCCCTGGGTTTGATTCCTTAGTACCACATATACAGAAAATGCTGGAAGTGGTACTGTGGCTCAAGTGGTAGAGTGCTAACCCTGAGCAAAAAGAAGCTCAGGGACAGTGCCCAGACCCAGAGTTTTCAGCCTCCAGACTGGCAAAAAAAAAAAAAAAAAAATATATATATATATATATATATATATATTTATTTATTTATATTTATAAACAGGTTCAAACTCCAGATTCTGATTGTTTAGTTTGAAATTCAACTGAGAAAAACCAAAGTTGGGGACTTTTCTATGGAGGTCAACATCCTAATAGCTGTAGGACCTTGGTCAAATTGCTTAGCACACACTACATACAGACACACACACACACACACACACACACACACACACACACACAAATTAGAGGATAGATTTGAAGATCATCCTTCTTTTTTTTTTTTTTTTTTTGTCGGTCGTGGGCCTTGAAATCTGGGCCTGAGCATTGTCCCTCAGCAATTCAGCTTAAGGCGAGTGCTCTACCGCTTGAGCCACAGGGCCACTTCCGGCTTTCTAGTGGTTTATTGAAGATAAGAGTCTCATAGACTTTACTGCCTAGGCTGGCTTTGAACCCGGATCCTCAGATCTCAGCCTCCTGAGTAGCGTGAGCCACCAGCACCCGGCAAAAATCTTCCTTATTTCTAATACCACATACAATACCGGATATCCCTCTGAGATTCACCTATTCACTAGAATTCACAGAATTCACTGAAAGCTAGGATATTCAAAGTTACAGTTTATTCAGCTAAACAGATTCAAATCAGATAAAAAAGAAGAAATGTAGGTTCCAGGAAAATTCCAAAAGCTCTTCTTCAAGTGTCTTCTCTCAGTGGAGTCTTTCCCATTGTTTCCCTAATGAAGACTTTGACCATGTGCTGGGATTAATTGTTGCTAACCAGGGAAAAAAGCATGAGCTCTGAGGTTCCCATTGACTACCAATATGACAGACTTCAGTCTTCAGCCTATACAGAGGTCGAGCTAAGATTGTGTGACTAAAAGTTTCACCATAACTTGTCCTGTGAGACATTCTGGAGTAGCGTAATGCCTCCTGGTAAGTGGAAACCTATTTATTTGATAACATGGAGATTTCTTCCCAGGTGTGCTGGAAAGGCCTCCTCTTTTGGGTCAAGGTTAAACTCTATTCTATGTTATACATTTGTGAGAATTAAATGATGGTACTTGTGTGGTACTTACTAAAGAACCTGAGTTTATTAGCTACTACAGTTTACAAGGGCTTGGGTTTTCAGCTGAGTTGTTGACTGATGTCTTTCTCTACTTAGAATAGGTGGTTCATTTAGTAAGTGCTTGAAAGGAATTTCCCCAAGGGATGAACAAACTACTTTATATTCACCTATACACACAAAAAAGAAAAAACCCTCCAGACCCTGTTTCCTTTACTCAATGTTCCAGATTGCCTGAGTTAACTCGACAAGTAGATGTTGTGACTTGTCGTGTGCCCACGAAAGACCTGGCTCATTTAGTTTGGATGTGCCTTTTTATCTGGTTTGAATATCAGCATTACAGGAACACTACCAACAAACACCTCCAGCAATTCTGTTTATGGTGATCCATAAAAAGTAGAATACACTGCCTTTTACTATACAATATTTATAAATGTTGTAATATCCTCATTTTTATTTCAGTGGGTTTTGTTTTGTTTTGTTCTGTTTTGCTTTGTTTTTTTGCCAGTCCTGGGACCTGAACTCTGGGCCTGGGCACTGTCCCTCAGCTCAAGGTTCAAAGTTAGGGCTCTACCACTAGAGCCACAATACCACTTCCAGCTGTTTCTGCTTATGTGGTGCTGAGGAATCGAACTCAGGGCCTCTTGCATGCAAGGCATTCACTCTACCACTAAGCCACCTTCCCAGCCCCTTTACTTCAGTTTTTTTAAACATGATTTCTTTATTCATAAGGAGGTGCTATCAGTGATAGAGGACTAGCAAGTTGGTCTATCCCATCCCATTCTTTCCCAAACCAAATCCCTAGTCTTATAAGAGAAATTCTCAGGTGTGTAAATAGCACTTTGCAGCTTGCCTGCACATTACTTGGCTCCCCATCACTGATTCACAAGCAGAAGTTGAAAGCATATGCATACAAGATGTGCTCATGAGTGCTCAAGACTGAGAGTAGGATTTAGAGAAATTTACTTTTTCTTCCTGATTTTTCAATTAATGGTTTGTGATGAGAGTGAAGAAGCTATTTGGGGCTTCAAATTCCTGATCTTTTGTATTAGAGATTGGGGTCTGATTGAGGCTGGGTGTTTCCAGAACTAGAATTTTAAAAGTATTTTTAACACTGAAAGAACTGGAAGCCTATTAACATTAGAGTGTGCAACCAGGAGAGGAATATTAAGCAAATTCTAGAAAAATAAAATATTTTCACATAAAATTCAAATGAGAATGGGAATCATCTGGTATTTCTTTCCCTTACAAGCCAATGTTAAAAGTGATTAGCACTTATTTCTAATATCCTTTAAGTAGTCACCAACTTTCTACTATCTAATACTATAGTGATATTTAAAACACTTCTAACGTTTTGCATGAAGGCAATGGAATGACAATATGTACAAATGTGTAGTATATTCACTCATTTTGACAGTAACAAGTAACAATCGCTTTAATTTAGCATTTTATAGCTTTAAGAAGCTCAAAGCATTTTCTAAACAAATGATCAAATATCTTCTAAATAAAATAGCACATTCTATTGACTTTATTAGGTTAAAATTCAAATAATTTTCCCATAATAAAGGTTTCCTGTGATGCCTCATTTTTCCTTCTAAGACTTGATAGGTGAACCAGTGCCAATGGTTCATACCTGTAATCCTAGCTGCTCAGGAGGCTGAGATCTGAGGATCAAGGTTCAAAACCAGGCCTGGCAAGACAGTCTATGAGACTCTTATATCCAAGTAAGCACAGAAAACCAAAAGTGGCGCTGTGGCTCAAGTGGTAGAGCACGCGCCTTGAGCTGAAGAGGTAAGGGACAGTGCCCAGGCTCAGAGTTCAAGCCTACAACTGGCCAAAAAGAAAATAAAAAGACCTGATAGGTGAAAAGAGTGAGAAATAGTCGCAAAGTAGTTGATGGATAAAACACATAGTTGCACCTACACTTAACTGGGTAAATGGTAAACCACTCTCCCTAATAATGTGGCAGGAAAGGTGCTGAGGTAGGATGAGAGGGAATTAGTTCATCAAGTGCCATTATTTGTTCAGTTGCACAAACAGGCAGAATGGCTCAAGTAGAACTCCAAACTCTAAATTGGAAATGAAGTCATTTTGGAGAAGAAAGTCAACTGTAAATTGTTATTTGTAACAAATATTAATATTCTCTTTTGTATGACTTTCTGATAAAAAAATATTGGCTCTTTATTTTCTCTCCATTTCAACCTTCAATATTAATAGAAGACATTTATACTCAATGTTTTTATTTGATAAGGTATTCTTCTAGAGTTTATTATCATTGCTGAAAGATTTCTTTAAAAAGTACTGTCAACTCCAAGAAAGAATTAGTATAAAAGAAGTTAGTGTCAGTTATTAGAGCATGCTATTTAATTCAGATTATAATCTTTAATTCAGATTATAATTAATGATTTGCTCCTCCCTCTCTGGTTTTTCTTTTTTCCAATTTAAATTCCAGGCACCTTCAAAGCAATAATCAACCTCCACAGCCTCCTGTTCCACCATTAGGTTACGTGTCCGGAACCTTGATTTCTGATTTAGAAACAGATGTTGCAGATGATGATGCTGATGATGAAGAAGAAGCTTTAGAAATCCCCAGACCCCTGAGAGCCCTAGACCACACTCCTGGATCCAGTATGGACAATCTAGACAGCTCTGTGACAGGTAACAAAACTGATTTACTAGAAATACCTGACCTATTTGCAACACTGAAATGTATCAAAAATCATATGCTTTTTTCATGTAAGAGTTATTCCACTCCATCTATTTCTGTAACAGTTTAAATATGTTAATGTTAAACACCAAATTCAAAAAGCATTTGGAAATACTTTGGCTTTGCTGCAAAAATGATAAGAAAATTCATGAATTTTAAAGAGCTTTAAAGACATGAAAGAAAACTCAATTATATCCAGGCCTTTTATGAAAAGTTCATTCTGCGAAGGAACCAAGTCTTTTACGTGGGAAAAAAAAACTTGACTTTTAGGGATGATATATTTTGTATATCAGAAGCAACATACAAAGTGAAATACAATCTTAAAATGCCTCTTGATATTTCACTCTGTAAAACCACTCACTGATGAAAATAAGCAAGGCTTCAAAATATGCCTCTCCTGGTTCCACAGTCTTATTTTTAGAATGGTAAAATGTATAGAGAGATAAACTATATGTTTATGTATTTCATTTTGCTGAATCCAGTAATTATTCCTCTTCCAAGAAGTATAATTATTCTGTTTACTTTCAAGGCTTTCCCCCTGCCTGTACACCAAGTGAAAGACTTCAGTTTATATTCTCCTTATGATGATTCCAACACTGATGCATAACCTATTTCCAAGGATTGAAATTGGAATGTTTTGAATCCATGTATATACACAATGAATAGTGAAAAACAAAGCTTCCCTCTTTTCATTTCATTCTTTTAGTTTCTTTCCTTTGGTTCTTTCACACACACACACACACACACACACACACACACACACACACACACACACACAAAGAGCCACTTGCATGATTATCAGGGTACAGGATCACAACTTGAGATTTAATCCCTGCATCCACTTCATTTGGTCTTAGAATACCATTTATATATATATATATATATATATATATATATATATATCACAGAAAGCATCCATATTTGCTTGAATGATATTTTTAATCTTGAAAGTATTTTATAACAGTGTTATCATTTATATAGTTCACTATTTTATGTTATTATTTATTTTTATATATTACATATATAAGTGCTTCATCTATTTTTACTCTAATAGCTGCCCAATTTCCACAGATTTACTCCCTATTTGTTAGCTTTGCAAACACCAATGGAAACTGATGGGGTAGGATAGAGTGCAGAAAACATTAGTACTTGTAATTTCCCCCTCCTCCATTCCTGGATTACCCAGTGGGTGATGTCCAAGTCTACACTTTTCTTTGTCTTCTTATATGAGTGCCAGTCTGCTTGGTAGGATAATTAAGACTTAAAACATAGATACACTGCTGTGATTTGAAACCCACATTTAAATGAAGGTGACAGAGCAAAGTTAAAATCTTTGAATACAGAGAGATGACTTATTAGTGCACTATTATGCTAAGCCTCTTTGCCTTGAATTTCTAGCCTAATCTCCTTTAGGGTAAAATTCTACATATTTTTGCATATTTCACTAATGATATTGAACTATTTTCCATCAGGAATATGGTAAAATTGCAAGAATAATGAAAAAAGTCAGCAATAAGATATAAATTTTTATTAAATAAGATAATGGCAAGGATGAAAACTATTTCTATAAATTAGGATACCATTTTACACTTTTCCAAAAACACACCTGTTAGGAACAAGTTGGTCTGTCTTATGTGACAGTAATTGGAGCAATCTGCACTTTTCTAACTAGTGTAATGTTCATTCCGATGAAGTTTTTATTGCTAAAAAAACAAAATCCATTTCTCTGTTTGAACTCATTGCTTAATTAAGACCTTATATGGAAATCTCAGTGTTTAGGTACGTATTTTGCAATAAATTTGTCCTCTAAATTTAACATTCCCTTAGTAGAACTTGTATTTTACACTTAGCTAGCCAAGTGAGCTTTGAGGGAAAAAAAATATTTGATCCAAGCTTTGTTTTTTAATGTGTATATGTAGGGAGAGTGAGTCAGTATGTCAGTATATATATTTTTATATGTATGTATACATACATGTGGTTCTATATAGAGGTGTGTGAGCACGTGTGGATTTTAGTGCATGAAATTATAAGTGCATACATTTCTGTGAGAATGGTGATAAATGATTGAGTATAGGTAGTGTGTATAAGGATGTGAACAAATAGTGTGTGTGCATGTGTAATATGTACATGTCTATGTGTGTATGCCCCAGAGGTAGAGATATGTGTGTATACACAAATACTTATTGAACCACTTTTATAACAATCAACGTTAGGAAATATTATCCTAATTTGCCTATGTATTCTTCATGTACTTCAGGCTAGTGTAATGATGTTAAATGAGGTAAGTAATAAAACAAGAATAAGATAATTGTGGTTGTACACATGTGTAGTCTCAGTACTTGGAATCCTAATGTAAGAGGATTGACAATTTGAGAATATCTTGACCTACCTAACAAGACTTTAAAAAGAAAAAAATGCAAAATAAAATCAGAGCAATGACAAAAAGAACCACTTGGTTCTAATCTCATCATTTGGATTAGATGTTTTTAAGTCAGTTATAATGGTAGAGAAATAATTCTGTTCTTCTTTACCCACAATTCTAAATTTGTTGGTAATGTGAGTAAATTAGTCATTACTTATAACATAGATTACCTGATAGATGTATTCACTATCATTACTCTGATGCCTTTTATTTTGTCATTCATGGGGCCTGAACTCTGGGCCTGGACTCTATCCCTCAGCTCTTCAGCTCAAGGCTAATACTCTACCACTTGAGCCATAGCACTACTTCTGGCTTTTTTGCTATGTGGTGCTGAGGAATTGAGCCCGGAGCCTCATACATGCAAGGCAAGCATCCTACCACTGAACCACCTTCCCAGCCCCAGATGATGCCCATTTTTATTAACAGAACTAATACATAGGTTTCATTTCCTGAATCTGATACCAACTATAACAGATAGCCAAAGACAACCAAGCTGATGAGCTTCTATGTAAAATCAGTCAAGATTTTATTTGAATATATTGTACTCTACAACTGACACATTAAGAAATGTAAGTAGTTAATCAATTATAGAGTCCTTTTTTTTAAGAAATATGCAAATTGGTTCTGTATATTTTTATGACAGCTAAGGAACTGATGAGAGATTTCTTAAATTTTTAAATGCTCATTCATAAAAGAAAGAAGCTAAAAAATGATAATACTAGTAGTTCCAAAATTCAGGACCTCAATAGTGAAAAGTAGTTGCAAATTTCTTGATTTATGTATTTAGTGTAACTTATGCCTGTTACATTTAACCACTGATAAATAAGTTCAACTCAATGACAATAACACAATGGCCTTTAGGAAAGGTGAGGCATCCTTCTAAGCAGTGGCCTGATGTGTTTGTTTGTTTGCTTTTGGTTATTATTTTTTAGTTTTGCTTCACTTTTTGTGGCACAGTAATATAAGATTTTTTTTTTACATTTTTAAAGGGGAGGAGAGAACAAGAGAGATTGAGAATAGGAAGGAAAGAAGAGGGATGGAGAGAATTAAAAACAGAATGAAGGGCAAAATCAAAAATATTAATTTCTATTATTTTATATAATTTTGTTTCTGAAGGTTTAAAATGCATAGTAAAGAACTCTATTATGAACATTCTCATGTTGTACATAAATTGAGTCATTGAGGAATTTTAATCCTTGTTCAAGGTCACCTGCTTGATAAGTATGAGAAGAATGTACAAAATCAATTAATCTTACTGTAAAGGTAAATGAACATGATCCTTGCTTGGGAAATGCTCAACTTCTTCTAATCTGTATAATTTGCATATTTTACAAGAAAATACTATTCTCTCCTGTTACTTAATATGTGATTCTCATTTCTTTCTGTTATATGCATGTGTAGAAATGAATAAAAATGAAAAAAGTATACACTTTTAAAAATACAGCTTGTAATGTTATTACTGGAACATCATCACTAGAACATTACTACATACTTAATGAAGATCAGAACATGAAATATTAGAAGTATCTTTTATTTACTTTCCTCATATTTAGTTTGAATGTTTTATTCATTTTCCTCATACTTCTCTGTTTATTTCTAGTAACCTAACAAAATTAAACTAGATCAGCTATTTTGTAAGGAAATCCATTTGTACAAGTTTTATTTTTAATTTCTTTTGGAAGTACTGAGTCTAGAACTCCAATATTCATTCTTATTATGCAAGTCCTTTATTCTATTAGCCATGACTCTTAGTCCTTTTTTTGTTTTAGTTATTCCAAAGAAAGCTTTTAAATTTTTTTTACCAAGCCTGGCCTCAGACTGCCATCTGTCTACCTATGCCTCTGTATGAGCTAGAATTACAGACAAACACAGCCAACCTTAGCTGGTTGGCTGAGATGGGATTTTGGTAACATTATGCCAGAGCTATCCTTGAAATACAATGTTCCTTTTCCCTACCTCTTAGTAGTTAGGCCTATAATCATGGGCCTGATTATAATTTTTATCTATGCCTATAAGATTAACCTATTTCATTGTTTTAAAAATACAACTATATTATGATAACATATCAAACTTTGTTATGGTCTAGAAAATGAGCACAGAATTGTTTCAGTGTCCAGTAACCTGGAAGCAATATTTCTTCCTCATTACTCAACCTAGTATGACCCAGTAAGAGGGAGAGTAAAGTCTTCAATACTTCCTTCTGTAACTTCAGTGGTGGGAGGCATAGGTAAGTGCTTCCTGACTTTAATGACAGGATCATGAAAAAGAAACAGAAAGCAGCAGGAGAGATGGAAGGAAAAGAATATCCTGCAAGTGTAGCCAAGATTCTAACTGCCTGAGCGAACACAAAACGTAGTGTTATTAAATAAATCAGTAAAAGTTGTCTGGATGGTTGGACCACACACAAACTGTAGAAAGCAACTTTTGGCTATGCATATTCTGTGTGTTCAGAGGTTTTCACTAGAACCCTCATACTGCATCACTTTAAAAACAATAAAACCTGGCAACCTCATTATCTGACTTGACCAC